TAAAAAAGCAACTATATGTAAATTCTAAAGATTTTGAAAATAAACGGTATATACTTTAAATATACCATAATATATACCATGATACCTACTATATTATTTGTTATATACACTTATATGCATATAATATTTTTATTAGTTACTCTACAACATTATGCAAAGATTATAAGATTATCATTAGTCGAAATTTGGTACTAAAATTGAATTTCAAATAATTTTCGAAAATATAAATGCCTACAATATACCTGTGTTCAAATATATAGTAGAATATATTGTAAGTACGTTTTATGCAGCAGAATCCTTCAAAATTAACTTAATAATTACTGACTAAGTTGATAGATTGTGGTTAATAAAAAATATGTGCCCATAAATATAAATCCAGCTAGCTACTATAGTTATATTATTATTTCTTATTAGCGATTGTAATACATTATGTTACCTATTCGAATGGACAATGATTTACGTAATTCAGTAATTGTATGTCATATACACTGTGTATAATGCATATTAATATTTAATAATATATATAATGCATTATGAGTACGCATTTTGAAAATAAAATACGACATTAGTCAAGATTCGTTTAAATATATATGTTTAAAAAATATATATTATTTGGTTATCTGGAACCGTACCTATACTTAATCAGTGATCTTTACCGTAAATAGAATATACACATAGTATCTACTATTATATATATTCATTCATTCATTCAGATATTCGGTGGGTTTGTATGGTTTTGTACACTTTGTATTACATTTTATTGTAATAAGACGGTTTTACTTATATATATATATCATACATACAATAATAATATCATTGTGAAGACTGTTGACTCATTCATAAATAAATATATATATATTTTAGGTATTCGCCATACACTTGGTCAGTTTTTGTTCATTCACTAAGCTGAATATTGTACTACGGTTTCATCAGAATTGTGATATTAAGAGCGGTGTCGTTTGAATCATCAGACAAAATGGTGCAAGATTCTAATAAATCAAGATTTTTGAAGTCGAGCAATTTATTATTTTATAACAGCATCATTGATCGTGAGCCTATTTATAACATTATAAGGGGACTGAAAGCGGCAATTTATGTTAAGGGTTGTGTGTGTGTGTGTGTATAGTCAATCTTGTATTGTGCATGTATTACGCTTACGCGGCGTGTTTGTTGTACGAAAAGTAAACGATTGTTTGTGAGAGTAAATCAGTGTGTGGCCCACACAAAGTATGTGCGAACAAACACATGTCACATGATAAGAGTTTAGGTACCGCTGTAGAATATTACAATAATCTGTTTCCTACACACGAGCGACGAGTCAGACCCATAAACCCTTATAAAATTATGACTTCTGAGAATATTATTATTCGTTTTTAACTCCTTGAAAATATTTGAGTAGGTAGATATATATATATAATATATAGATCATTCTCTTTTTCGGGTTCTGCGACTTTATCCTGGTAGTAAAGTTTTGATTATAGTTTATTTTTATTTTTTGTATTTAATCGAAATAAATATTTATTTATTTTATTATATTCACTTGTTGACAAAAAATATTATGTTTGAACATATGTATTTTTCTACTCGAAAATCGATTTCTACAATAATCTAAAAGATAAGCAAAATTAAAATTCGATTATTTGAAGTAGTTGTAATTTTGTCAGGCTTAAATAAGCTTTTATAGGTTAGGTAAATATATATCACTTCAGAATAAAAAATCTATTGATACCTATAAATGTTTTTCTTATTTAGTGATCAGAATACGGTTTTATTTAAATCATATATTCGTATAATACCTACGCTTGTACATAATATACAACTACCAGACTCGTTGAGTATTTTATAATAACGTTATTTAAACACTCTTTATTATCTACTTTGTAAAACCTTTCAAGCGATTCGTATTTTACAATATTAAACATATTTTTTCTTTATACATTCGCTACGATAATGATAAAAAAATATATATCTTGTTTAATTTATAAATTTGTGTAGAACGAATAAAGGAATATTTACAGCATTCTACACAGTACCTATACTACAATATACGTGGTACCTATTTAATATAAGTAGTTTTCTTAGTGTATAATAGATATACTGCTGTAGTACTGTTATATACTATTTTGTTATTCTTATATCCTTATATATTTAAAAGTGTTCTATATAAAAGTATTTCTTAACAGTTAAATGTCAACTACTACCTGGTTGCTGCAATACGAATACAATATACATACATACGTCATACATACATACATACATACATACATACATACATACATACATAATACATACATACATACATACATACATACATACATACATACATACATACATACAAACATATATAAATACATACATACATACATACATATATACATACATACATAAATACTATACACACACAAACTATGAAAAAATATTATTATTATATTATATTATAGTCCCTATACCGGCTATACCACACCGTGTGTTATTCCCGTTATTGTATCATACATAGTTAGTATAATGGTCGGGGATTCGACATTTTGATGGCGGGGCGTAAGAGATTTGCCAATTTGGCATACCAACACGACCTATATATATTGTAACTTAGGTACAAACACGATCTACCCGAGATGACATAATATACTGGGTGGATACACATATTATAGGGTGCAGTGATATAATAAGGGGCAATCGTTCCGAACCACACATTTTTTCTTCCCATTATATAATATAAAAGATTTCTTGTTGAATTAGATTTACAGAAAATAAAAATACACCATTATTATTGCGTATGGTGTCACAGTATGAAATATTATAAAATAGTGGTAGGTATACGTATTACGTATACCTATTGAATAAGTCTATTCAGGTCGGAATACTGTGACGCTGTTTGTCGCTATATTTGTACAGAAGCAAACTGTTCAATGAACGGTTAATGGTGTATACAGTATACTACACACACATAGGTATATATTGTATAACAGGGCAGGGCTGGGGAGACGCAAAGATTTATTTCTTCACTCATTCTCAAAAATATTACTAGTTAACAAATATTTTAAAAGTACCTACTATATACTTGATACATTTAAGATAATCATTTAGTCTTATAGACTTTTAAGTTGTAAGCAATTTGCAATTTTGTTCTTTGGTCACCCGCAATTCATTTGTCGACCGATAGTCATTAATCATTAGTGAAACGACCTATTATGGTATGTGGTATTGTATGGTTTTGTACCATAATTCAGTTTTTAAGTAAGTTATGAGCATTTTTAATTTACGCTATATTATATACACGAAACTTGCTAAAAAATTGAACTATCATAAAAAACCTATATACAAATAACAGATAATTTTCTTATCATCAAGTTCCATAATAGGTCAATCCATTCTAATTTGGGTACGCTACGATTTTATTGTAAGAATAAACATAAATGCCTGTGTCCTATTAACTGAAAGGCTGAAATCCAATAGGATATGTGCCAACTTATATGATAAGTGATAAACGCAATTTGATATGCCATCGAGAACGATAAATAACGATAATTATTGAAATTATAAATACATACTACATTTTATTATATTATTATTTATAATTATTTATTATAATTATTGACTTTTTCAAAGAAGCCCCATATCAATCTAACTAGCAAAAATCGACGAAGGGCTATGGAAACATTTTCTTATATTATTTTAATATTTATGTAATCATTAAAATATTAGGTGTCTTTAGAATATTATTTACTTATAGAAATTCACCAAAATTAGGTTCTTAAGAAATAATAGGTACATAATATAATATTTTTATTTAATATAATTATATACCTATTTGAGCATTTTTGTAGAAATGTTCTCATGGCAAATCGGTTCATTATACGTCAATGCGAATGTATGTAGTCATTTAATTCATAATTTAATAAAATATTATAAAATTGATTGCTTTTTTTTTATACTTGTAAATACAGTGTTCATATACCTACTGTGTATGCTACCACGAGTTGGACAACATTTCTAAGATTAACGGATGAGAAATAATTGCATTAATTATTTGAAATTAATAAATTTCAGTAAATATTAAAATCATGCATGAAGGATTTAATATTATTATTAAATATTAGATTATTAAATAAAATAAAATAAATATACTTTCGTTGAATTTGTCAATATTCAATATTTAGGAACAATGATTAAAATGATATATTTGTGTATATTATTTGTTAAAATAAATTAAATGAAACTACGAAAAAAACTATTCAGTTAAAATAATCGTATTATTCTATTATTAAAAATTAAAATGGAATCATGGTCCACAGTAGCTGTGTATCTATCTTTAATTTTATTATTTGTAAAGTATAAATTTGTAATTACTATTATATCGTATTAAAGAGACCCATATATAGGCTATGATAATGAATATTTATCGAAATGTATGAAACTAATGATACAACCCTTGGAAAATTCAAACAATAGGTGATTCGTAGTCAACGGCCAACACTGCGGTCTACACAGGACACAAACACACACACACACACGGCGGAAACCCGCGACCACCTACCTAAATCAAGTGAACAGAATGTACCAATGCGTTTTCCGTTAAGAATAATGAGAAGACGCAATAGCCCCCGACTACCGCTGGGCGTAACAATACGGCATTTAAACTGTATACATTGCTATGACCACCGAGCGCGGGAATGAATGGTCCCATAACCCCATAAATAATTGGTAAAAACCGTTTCACGTGAAAAATAGCCACTCGGGCTATAGTATACAGTCTCGGTTAAGAAACAAATAATGCATTCACTTACACATTAGGTTCAGCAGATAATATAATGGCCTGTTTGCCGTGTCGGAGAGTTTTTATTTATTTTTGTTCACATTACCGGTGTAAAAAAAAAAGTTGTGCCCGAGTGGTTTTTTTTTCGCGAAACGGTACAACTGCAAACAACGATATGTATTGTACGCACGATAAAATCGTATTTTCTAATATTATTTTGTCGATATTAATATCATATGCTTACGGTGATTGAACAGGGACAACGTGGTGGAATGATGGTGGTGGTAGTTCTGACCGGCCGCCGTTGGGTAACAGCCCATGCTGGTCTGCAACGAGTCCATCAGACCGATGCTGTTGACGGCGGCGTACGGCGAAGACGCCGCCGAGTTCTTGAGGTGGTACGCGGCGGCGGCGGCCTGCATGGACGAGCCTAGTGACGGCGGCGCGCCGCCCGAGCCACCCGCGGCGGCGAACGCTGCGGCCGCGGCAGTAGCAGGGAAACCGCCCAACTCCCCGCCGCTCTCCTGGCTGCATCTGTTCGGGTGGAAAGAAAAACAGAAAAAAAATGCGAAAAGCAAACGATTAATAAGAACCAGTGTTTTTACAACAAAAATAATTTAGTTTATATTACGATGATGGTACGAAGAAAAGGAAAAAAAAAAACCAAAAAAAACCATAATAATATTACAATATAATAATAATAATATACGTATGTAGATATTGTAGCGGTGGCACTGCGAAGTAAAGGCGTTGATGGTTTTAGTGTCGTCGAAAAAGTATGTAAAAAGCCGAGACATAAAATATAAAACCCGGCTTGAGACGACATACTTATATATTATATTATATCGTATACGGTGTGAGAGGGCACATTAAAACGTTTAATTAATATTATATAAACGCACGCGTAGGTATTAAACATTGTGTAAAACGTTTTGTACACATAAATACATAATAAACTCACTTTTGTACAAACCAATTTTTAAAACCGTTTCAGGAAGTACATATTATTATTATGATATAGTTTATAATTATCTATTTAAACACTAAGATTATGTATACTAGTATACATAGTATTCGGGTATCTAATAATAATATTGTAATTATTATATTAATTGTTGGTACCTACATTAATAAACATGGAATTATATTTTAACAGTCCGTTTAAGTTTGTAGTACTACACTATATAATGTGAGACCGAAACGCCAAATTACGTCGGGCATTTCTCAAATCCGTCATTCATTATTCATGACGAAAACCTCATTTTCTCGTCACTGCAGCTCCAAAATCGTCAATACATGCTTCTTGCCTTCTCATATATATACCTATATTTTACACGTCTCCGTTTTTCATTAGAGAGAGGAAGTATTCATCAATTTTCACTTTGACATTAAAATATTTTAGATTTGCACCACTGTAGTAGACTATCGAAGTTGAAATGATATTTTGCTCGTCTGATTTCCAACATGAGAAGCGTGTAAATATAGCTATATAAGCTGGTTGGTCATTTTATTCAGAATAATTTGACATTTTAACAAACCAATACGAGTATATCTTTTTCATGTTATTTCCCTACAAATTTCTCATGATTTTTGGTATAATCAAAGTTCTTCAATTCATTTTATATTTTTACATCTTATTATCATCTATACTGATCGATCTGCACATTAAATCCATTGACGACTTCGCCATTCAATTTGTAATTGTTTTGGGTCATATCAGCATAATTGGTATAATAACGAGACTGCCAATCAACTAAACAGGTAACGACATTTCATTTTATTTTATTTTATTCTTCCTTGTACGTGAAAAAATGATGCGGCTATGTGTTGTAATTGAGTATCTTATATTTCTTATAATTTTAAGTGAATAATAATTAATGACAAAACTGGTACGCAATGTACAAAAAAAAAATAAGAACAATTGCCAATACCGAACATTTTACATCTATATATTATACAGTATATATATGGTTAGCTCGCTATAACAAAGCACTTGAATCCTAATTTACTCATAACAGGTACTTAAATTACTATAAAACTGCTAATAAAAATACAATAGGTATAACAGTATATTTAGAAGATGTGGATAAATTATTTAAATGCATGGGGTACGAGAGATTCTTCCGAATGCAGTAACTATCTATCTCAAACAATGAAACCCACATCATCTTAAGATTCCGCTCGATATGGAATATAGACGGACCGATAAAGGAACTCCACCAGGTCTCGAGTGCAACACCGACTTGCATCGTGTAACTTGACCTTTAAATTAATAAAATCTAGGTACCAACTTTCATTAAACGCGTTACTATTTTATGTTTATTTCACTAATCTTATTTGATTTTAACATATTTTTTTTAATTATCTATTAGTTGTATTATACTGCTTAAACCATGCATAGATAATATAATACAAATTAAAACATAAATAAAATAAGAATATCACACAGGAACAACTTGTTAGACGATCAGCTTTTTACGCATAATCCACATCGGGCTTAGTTCGAAGATACATCTTTATCCTCCGACATGGATTAGTGGCAGCTGATTTTATACCATAATAACATTACGATTTTATTTTACATTACCGTTATTACTACGTGTTCAAACGACGCACACGCTTCTAAGACGGAAATTAAGTTATTAGTTGACGCCACTGATTCGGCGCTAGAACGTCACCAGCAGCCACGCTTGTATATACAAAGAAGGTACACTATTATATACTGCATTATGAAACTAAGAATTGGTAAGACATATACACTGTCATTGTTACTTGTTATTTTTATGCAGTCATTTACGTTGTATTATTATTGGTATACCTATTGAATATTAAATATTCGAGCTTTCGTGTACACAATGAATAAAATCGTAAAACACTCAGCGCAGATGATTTTATTAAGTAGGTAATAATAATAAAAATAATAAATGCATAAAAATAAAGTTTGCGAAATAGATCAATTATCATAATACAAAACAAATCTGATATAGTTTCGATTTTTATTATTATATACGTACCTACCTAAAGGAATAAACAATGCAACAGTACTATATTTTAATAGTTACATATAGTATAGGTAATTGTATAATTTATTATGATGGACAAATAAATATTAGGATTTTAAAACCGAAATTTTTTCGTCAGTGATCGGATACCAATTATATAAATTATTAGAACGGTGAATTGAATGCAGTATAAATAAACTATGAAAATGCACTAAAAGATAACAATTTAAAAACTATAAAAATCTATCAAGTATAATTGAAAAAAAAATCTATTCTATTAATTTTTTTAGTTAGATTTAAAAAATAAAATAATATTTCATTCATTGAGGCGAAAGAAAAAATTAAGTATTTAACTTAAATAGGTTAATAGGTAGTCTAACACTAAAACATTGTACACCCTGTGTACAATATTTCACATAAAAATATGATTAATTAAGCAGTACAACGTAGGTATACATAATACATATTATACAGAAAGTGTGAAATATTCATAAGACAATAAACTAAAAAAATATTTATAAAATGAGTTTAAAAAGTTTTAACTGATGGAAATTATAATAAATACCAAACAAAAAACGGAAGAACGGCTTTAGAATAAAAAATGGAAAATAAAAGTTTTAAAATTAAATTCGTTGGTACCTAATTCAAAATTTGTAATAAGAAGGCTATGTTTTACAATAACTGTCAATTTTCCTACAAAATCACAACCCTTCTATAATTATTATAGTGAGTTCCGCTTAATGTGATCATTGGTTTATAGAATCAACCGTTTATTGGAATCAAAAATGAAAATCCCAAACCAAATATTATATTGATAAAAATATGCTTTAAGGAATCAACTGGTTAATAGAATCAAAATGGCCTGAACCAATGTGATCACATTAAGCGGTACCCACTGTATTATGCTCCAATAATTTCTTTAAATTGTTTTTTATGATTCTTTTCTTATGATAGGTGCAAAATCTAATACAGTTTATGAGTATAAATCCTCGTTATTGTTATTATTAGGTATGTAAGTGTTTGGAAAAATCAAATTATTTTAACAAAATATATATGAAACAAAAATCAATACTTCTGTATATACATTTTAAACTTTGACATAATATAATAATATTAGTCGAAAATATTTAGTACGAACGTGAAAAATGTATTAACAAAGATCGAACAAATAAGCTGTAGGTACCTACACGATTGCGCAGTAGTCATTGAAAGGACGTAGAAAAAACTGCTTAGATTAATTTATACCCAGGTAAAACAAATAAATTGAGGAACTCATCAAAGGCAACGATTGGGTGAATTTGGACGGTGTATATTATTGTTTTATACGGTATATAATACAACCGGGGACTTTAGAACTATCAGGATTAAGAAATTGAAACCGCCGCGTCGCTGCCGCCAATGTGTCTGCGTGAACGAAAAGCGAGGGCGACCGTCGGACTATTATAACAATATTATTATGTGCATATGGACAATATTATAGTATTAGGTACGATACCTTCTATAGTATAGAATCTATACCCATACCTACCTTAACCGTACGCAATACTTCTCGATGGGCGGCACAAGTCACGGGTATGCGTATGATATACATATTGGACGTGTATAATATTATATATGTATATACAATACCATATAACATTATAATGTACGAACAAACATTATAGTTGCGTGCGTGTGCGGTGGTCATTGTTCGTGCCGAAAGCGTACGTGTCTTTTCCGGTATTCGGCCGTCGGCGGGTAAGGGCTCCGTGCGCGTCTATATACTTGCACAGTCGTACTCCTCCGACAAAACGGGTGTTTTTACACGCATACACGTACCTAACTTACGTACATACGTATATACGTCGTATATTTGTACATATATATATATATGGGTACAGAGTATAATATAAGTATTTATCTATATAATATTATGTGTACATATGACGCAGGAGCTCGTGGACCTACGGCACTGCAGTCAGCATCCTGACAACAGTCAGTCGGCGAGATCGTCTTCTTTCTTCTTATTATTCTTCGTATTCTTTTTCTCTTCCAGAGCCAAGGTCCCCGCCACTCCAACAACCACCCATATACAGCAGAGAAACTCTACGTTATAGTGTGTGTGTGTTTATATTATTTTTTATTATGTATAGTTCACCCGCTGAACCGTTCACACAATAGTTAGATATATATACATATATACATGTCGGTTTTTTACGACCACCGGAACTGTTAGGTAGGTTACCTGGTTTATGGTTACTATAGGTATATTACCCGCACGTTATTATTACAATCGTCGCATAATATATAAATCAAGAATAGGCTTGCCGACAAATAGACCGGCGCTATATATTATTAGGTATATAATATACGTGTCATGTGCGGGAAGTGATTATCTATATCCGTCATCGTGTGTAGGCGCTATTATTGCCATTGTATGTTGTGTTTGTACATAGGATCCAGATCATGGCTTGATCACAATAATGACCGCAGTTAATCAAAAGTTACATATTATTATTTTTTTTTTGTTTTTTTTTTGCTGCGACGATCATTAATATTGTATTCTTCTGATTTTTTTTCAACGATTCTTGGCGAATTGAAACCGAATAAAGTCGATTTCGAATGGTTTCAGTTTTTTTTTTAATAAATCACGATAAATCACTCGGAAATCACGAGGGAAGGTCAGCAGCTTGTTCTACTAATTTTTCTGTCTCATTACAACTTAGACAACAATAATTAATACCATAATAATTCCAACTTAAGAGATTATAGTCATAGAACATAATCGCCTCAATAAAACAATTAAAACGCTTAATATAGCTTAGGAAACATTACGCACAAGTACCTGACAAGGATTTTCTTGTTTTATTTTTACTCTAATTATCACTATTAAATAGCTTTTCTTTGACAATATTCAAACATTACAATAATGTTTTGAAGTACCGATTTTCCAAGAAAGTCCATAGACTCTAAAACTATTATACAAAATGAATACGGTTTCTGATGTTCCGACAAACGCAGGACCAAATTAAATCTGTTCAAAAATCAGAAATCTCAGAATTTCTTTCACTCGTTCCTAGTAAATTGTACTTGATATTTATGAGTCGTCGTCTTATAGTCTGCTGCAGTACACAAACATGTCATTATATCATATATGTAGGTACGCGATATGATATGATTGTACTGTTGGGTCGGCCCGGGTCCTAGACCTAGTGGCGGGGCATATTCATTGTCACCCTATATTGTATATTATATTGTTATATTATTGTTGTAAGAAGGACCGATCGTCCGAATCTCAGCCGACGGTTTTTTTTTGTACAGGACACGTACGAGCACGACCAATGACAATAAACCTCAGTTTACGTTTATTATTATTATTATTATTGGTAAATGCATTATTATTATTTGAAAAACACTCAGGTTTGAACGAAATGCGTCTTTAACATACGATCAATAATAATAATAATAATAATAATTTTGTATTTTATTATACTTTACCGACAATGGCAATATAATATAATAACACATTACCACGGTGACAGTAAAATAACAAGAGCACATCGGTGGGTACCGGATTTCGAGAGAATAATCTTGAGACACAACGGGAGAAATTTAAAAATCGGATGTTTACAACAAAAATATCGTCATACCTATTTATGAAGGGATAAAATCCTTACCTACCACCGCCCTTAGGTATTATACGCACTGCTCTTATGGTCACCGCCGACCATAATTATTATTGTTGTTGTTATATCACGTGTACAAATGTACAATATAGTCAATATAGGAGGCAGGGTATTGGTTTGCACCATATATACGTAACCTGATATAATACAATATACTGAATTCCGCGTTATTACGTCGTATATGTGCTAAACAAGACCGAACAATCGACGATACACATAATACATATACCAACGCTTATATTCAATGATGTTATATTATACTTACGGGCAACACCAAAACGACTTTGGCAAGAGTGTCTCATACTTGCCACAGATACGTCGTAAAACGTACGAGAAAAATAATGACAATTATTGCAACGCATGATAATATAGACGTTATAATATACGGTCGATAGGTATACAGTTTGTAGTTTGTACCATCGCGGTCGTAGGCATGCATATTTATGTTAAATAAAAAATTCGGGTTGAGGGGTAAGTATTGTCCGTGTGTACATATACGATATTATAATATTGTATATGCGCAGACGGAAAAAATAATATTTAACACGGCTATAAAACTTACCCAGATGACAGGCTATTTGGCCACATAAGATGTCGATGACACCTGTAACAGAACAAAAAAAAAAAACTGTCAGTATACATTTCGAAACATATTATAACAGAGAAGATGATTTCGCGCCATTTCAAACGTCCTATTTATTAAACATCTACCTATCGATTTTAATGTACGGGCAGACGATGGTTGAATTTCATCTACCGCGAGCGTACGATACAAATCAAAAATAATGATATTATAATAAATTATATCATTAATATATTATTATTAATTCAATATAATTAAAAGACCTATTTCGTATTCGTCGACTCACTGCGATAAACCACTCGACCAACGAACACGTCGATACTTGCAGCACTCTGTATGCCAGTGTGCTCGTTGCAGCAGTATATAGGTACGTAGACACGTCGCTGTCGAGTATAAAAGTCGAGTACTCGTGCTGTAGGCACGCGGCGATTATGTAGGTATTACACTACTACCTATTATTATACTATAGATTTACAACTAGAGGTACTACACACTACTACACTAATACTACTACAACAATATACAACCGCTTTATGTACCTATTGTAATATCGTTGTATATAGTATAATACTATATAGGTAATATACAATAAACACGTACGTCAATCGCTGTACGATGACGTCAATGAGAGCGGTCGCAGTCGAGTGCCGTGCGATAATATAGTTCAATAATATAATATAGCTCGCTAATACATATGGGCACCTATACGATATAATATAATAATTAATACATAATATTAATATATGTAATAGGTACGCCGAGCAGACCGCCGGTGAGTGGACACCACGACACCAGCAGCAGCCATTATCGTTAAGCTACGACTTGACGATAGCAATATAACAATAATATGTCTATACATAATATATATATAGGTATACCAGTATACCCACGTTCTCGGCTACTTAATATAATATAATATATAAAAGGTGTGCGTACCCATACATACATATGCCTAATATGTGTGCCCCGGCCGATTGTTTGCTTAGTTCGAAACGTTTAGAGGGTGTTGCTGCTGTCTGATGTGTCGAATGTACATCATCGTCGCGATATTAAGGTATACGAGAGATGAAATAAACTTGTCGACGAGTGGGCGGGTAGGGAGAATGGTCTTACATGTACATTGCAGGGAACGTTATTATCACGAAAAACACTACAAATTCACTGGGCCGAGTCGGGTATTGTCCTGCGTGTATGCGAGTACCTGTCACCGAGCAGGACCTTCTCGGAACGCATATTTGGAAAAAAAATAGAGATTTTTATTTGATTTTAACGCTCTCGTTTCATCTGTATTTTATTGTGGTATACAAAGAGATTCCGGTGTCCGGCTATTGGCGTGTCACGCGTTTTCGACACCTGCGGCAACGACATAAATGCTATAAACGCATCAATATTATAATGCTCTTGGTAACGATTTGGCAAAGCATTTAGCGGTCTCGGGACGAAAAGAGTTCTTTTATATACTGTTTATATTATTTTCTAATATTGTGACACGTTTCCGGTGATGCAGACATTTTCAGATTACGACGATTTTTACAACGGGCTCGTATAATGAAAATACACCTAAAGTTAAGTTGACAAGTACAAAGGTAATATTCATCTCAAAGTCATATTTCAAAAGGTTTGAACGATTTTTATTTTTTAATGTTTGTTTTAATATTATGAACCCCTTATAAAACTTGTGAAAGAACAAAAAACGTTACGGAATAGATATTATAGGTAGGTACTGCAGTAATGTAGATATTATAATATATATTATAAATAATATGTTATACCTACATTTTAACATTTACATAGGTAGTATATACATTTATATATATATATATATATATATTTATGTTCGAGTGTTTTGTATAATAGGTACATGTGTGAGATATGTCAACAATCGGTATTAACAATGCTCGGTGTTTTTGATAGTGGATTGAGTGTCGAAGCGGTTTATCGCCGAGGTGCTCGAGTATTGTACCTATAACTTTCGAGAGGACAGCAAACAAGGAAAATACGATTGTTATCAGTCTCGAAATTATTTTATACGAAGTACACCACGATGATGAAGGCGACCGCTGGGGATATGTATATTTTAAAATATTATTGGCATTACACATCATGCTGCAGAAGACCGCTAAAAACTGAATTAGAATTACCTACTGCAGACTACTGACTGTACAGTGACGGTACTTTTGTAATCGATTTTTGACCGATGTCGTCTACGCGGTATAGATATTATGGGTATTTACTATTTATATAAGGGAGATATATAGTAGCGATTATAGGACGTGTATATTAAATTTATAATCATAAAACAATAAAGCACTTCCGCACAATCCATGTAGTTAGGTACATGTCCTTTATATTATAGGACTGGTTAGAGTTGTGCATACTTTCCATTAAAACACTGCTCTGGTTGGGGAGCAGAGAGGATTTCCTAATCAGGGATTCGGGAACTGCGTTTCTTGCGTATACATTTTACTCCATCAATAAACGATGCGATCAGTGAACGGGAATAATATAATATAATATACCACCGTGAAATTGGTCCTATTTAAATATTCCAGAACAGTTTCTCGGTATATACCTATATTATAATATGAAAGAGGGGAAAAAACACGCAGAAAACCAAAGCTTTGTACTTTCGATCGTAAATTCGCAATCATCGTACCTACCTAGCCGCAGTAAACAATATTATATATAAATTATAGATATATATACCAACGAGTATTTGCACGATATCCACGGGCAGTCGAAAGTGATGAATAATAATAAGAAAAACACGGGAGACCGACTTCACGGCGAACGGCGCGCGCTGATGCGAGGAACGCGATTATAATAATTTTTCTCGCATAAACGAGTACACTGCAAGTAAAAGGTACCGCCCAGGGTATATTTTTTTTTTGTTTTTAAACAGGTTTTCGTTGTTTGAAACGGAGTTTTTGTTTCAGAAAAAGCAGAAACACGAATTTTTACAACCCCGGGTGGACTTGATAATAATACATCGCTTGTGCGCTCTTGTGCGGCCGCCATCACGATGCCGCCATAACGTCGACTGACTGCGCGAACCGGTGGCGGGGGGGAGTGTGGTAGGGGGACCGGCGCGAGAGGGGAAATTTTCCCTTGCATATATACTCGTGTATAGGAGCTATTGTCGTTGTTATTGTTTCGTTTCGGTTTTTTCTTTTTTAAACCGGCCCCCTAGTTTTAGAAAAAAAAAATTAGCCTTCTAAGCAGCTGCTATTTACACGCCAACAATGGGTTCGCGCATTATATATATTGTACATACATATAATATATGATGTGATGATCGGCAACGCGGGGGAAAGCGCTCGTGTATAACTTCTCGTCGAACGCGCGCGCGTCATACATAATAATATATTATTTTTATTATTATTATCACAGGCCTAGACGGCGGTAACGGTTTGGGTGCGCGCGTTGTATATAGGAACATAGCAGTTAAATTTTATGTTCACCGTCAATGCAGACAGTGATAATAAATATATTATATATAAGCGAACCAATACCGACGACGGCTATATATATAATATATACTTACCATATACATACGGAACACGCTACCCGCGGGGGGTTCGTTTTGATTTTTTCCACACCATATAAAAGTATAGTACCTATAGTATAATTATATAACGCCGTAAACTGCAGTAGAGCAACCTAGTTATACATATAGTCGAACATGATAAAGGTCGTAACCTATACTTAGGTACTCAACGCCATATTATACTTTATTATAGGTATATTATTATTACCATCATCATCATAATCATAATTGTTATCACACTGAAATCGGGAAAGAATGATCCATTATAATAGAAAGGTTTTTTCCCAAGTTTTCCATACACACGTGTTCATAATAAAGCTCGTTTTTTTCATTACCAAGCTGCCCCCGATAAGCAATGCCCTCCTTATAATATATACATATTGTGTAAAATAAATACAGTCGCATAATATAATGTTATAAGTATTGCCTCAAAATTCTTGGTTGTTAGCTAATTTGAATATTTGTTGCAGGTATTTCTGTGGTTCGTATACCTTAGAATGTTTGTGTCAAGAAATTGCAACGAGAAGACGTTGGTAGGAGTATAATATATTATTATTATCTATTATAATACTTGGAGGGAAAAAATGTTTACACACCAATCGCGAAATGAGACCTTATATATATATTCATTGTTTTGCGTGAAGCTCTTGTGGGTATATACAATTTAATCTAACTATTTGAAGTTTACCAACGTATTATACAATATATATACATACATATTATATTATTATATAGTATATACAAATTATAAACAACATACCATTATACATTAGGTTTATATTATAATATTATATTATACATATAAAATAATGTAATAAAAAATTAAAAACTAGATTATTATATACTTGTGTGCTAGGTATATATAACTACTGTTCTAAAAACAATATTTTGATACTAAAATAGTACCTACACCGAATAACCCTGCACCAATGTACATATTATATACTAAAAAAGTATAAAGTCATACGTTTCTATATAATGATACAGGCCCTGCCTATATTTATGTCAGCTGTGAGGGAAATGTTATTATTATTGTCCCCGTTGTGATGTTTATTGTGTGCACAAAAGCTGCGAAACGCCGAGTCCCCCCCCTCTCCACAACAAATTTTCATCGCACCACCACTGCGCGTTCATTCGTATACAGATCGTGAATAATACGTATCTGCTTCATGCATAAATTATCGCGATCCGGGCGCAATGGCACATCATATACACTCGGCGTAACCCTTTTTTCTTTTTTTACCTGAACCACGCAGGACCCGCAGCGGCATACAAAAGGGACGTACACGTATATGGGGCGGTTCGGAAAGGGTTGATTCTCACTCGTAAAGGGGAGGGGGGGGGGTCAGAATTAGAGACCAAAAAAAAACCGTCGCCGTTTATACAATATATAATAATAATAATAATAATAACAATTTATAACGGTCGGGGGAAATGAAAAAAACAGAATTAAAAATTAATTAACACTTACAACATTACGCCGCTATACGTTCAAGGATACCGGCAGCTGCATATATATATATATCACTTGTAAGGGATATATAGATATTATATTACGATTAGTTATGTCGGGAAGTTATCGACGACTGCACTGTTCGAACTTTGACGATCGGACGTGCGGCTGAGAAATATAGTAATATTATGTAACAATATAATAATATTATATTTTATATATTATAGACGACGGACAACGGTTGATCGATTAATATGAATACTACTGTAATAATGGATAAAGTGACGAGAGCGTGCCTCTTCGACGACTACCATGCAAGACTAGAGGCGAATACTACGCGCGACAAGTGACAACCATCGGTATATATATTATTATTATTTAACACAGTCCCGTCGTCGTTTCGCAACACTATAGTCTATCTCCCCCCTCCATTCCCCTCCGAACACGACACACACTGCTATATGATTATGTTCTGCCTCACGTGGCGGCGGTGTCGTTATCGGTCGGCGTTTTTCGAGATAATTTCGGCCCGCAATCTCAACTACCTACGCTCTACAATATCATAATGACAGTATAACATTTATTAACATTACCAACAATCGAGCTATTTGAAAGCGGTGCAAACACTTATAACGTCGAGGGGAACAACACGCACACGCTGCACACGTCAAGTTCGATCCGCCACAACCGTCGCCGAGATAAAATAATTAGTATATTGCCATCGAGTGCTAACGAAACAAAACCCGTCAAAAGTAATAGCTGAGGAATGAGGATGTACATTTTTTTATGGGGAAAAAATTTAACT